TCAATAACACAGCCTTGGTTACTCGGGATCCCGAGCAGTTAAAAGAGAAGACATTCCTCATAGGAAGTCGTGCACACATTGCCTGTACCTAATGATCACCTACTGACCACACTGATAGCAATCATGAGTTTTTAAGGTATAAATACTCCTCGCAAAAGGCAAGACGGTATGCAACAAAAAACCTTTGCTACAAATTATACTCAGTGTTTTCTTCTTCATCTCTCTCAAAAAACTGACTTAATCGTCGGAGGGGATATGCCGGAAAACACTCCGGCGCTCTTCTAACTTGTCTTTCTTTGTTCCAAGAACCTTCCTCAACCTTACTGGATCGTTCCGTTGATCCACGAGGGTCTCCCATTACCGTTCTAGGTTACCACCGGACCTCACAGGCTGTTCCAAGCAGCAGGGTTGACCACTCGACTGACTCATTTGAGTTCACCAAGGGAGAGATCTGTTCTCATGTTTATATTGTGTAAGATCCAGCACGCACGTCTTGTTTTTTGCTTTTGGCATTAGGGACTTCTAGGTGTACAAGTTGCCAACTTGGTAGACATTAATACGACATCCTTTAAATTGGTTTGACCTCTAATTTAAATGCCGATAATAAGCTTTTGATACATCCCAAACCAATTTTGTTTGCTATTTAATGTAGGAAAATAGTTCTGACAACGATAGCCCAATAATTCTATGGACTAGCAAATGTTTTTTTTTTTGGATGACTTCTTACCAATTAGAGAAGACCCAAAAAAAGAAAAAGAAAATAGGAAGAAAGAACGTTATTATATGCAAATATGGACCGAACATAATTTTCAAAATCTGTCATGGAATGAAAGGATTCTAGAAATTACTAATTTGAGCTTCCACGTTCGACTCACACGAATTTGCCTCGATTTATGCAATGGATGTAATTTGTGAGTGATTACAAATATTTGGAGTTTGTGTTTTTCTCATGAGTTGAAGAGACATGTGATTTGGACAACACTCTATTGTCTAAAAACAAAAAACACGATTATTAGAAATATTTAGGAGATTTAAAACTGTTTTATAAAGTTCACCAGATATTCATTTGACTAAAACAAATACTTCTATTATGCCAACACTTTTGTTTCGTTTTGTTTTTTTTTTTTTGGAGAACAATACTGTAGATTTGATCTACAAATCTATTTATATTTAGATAGCAAAGTGGCTATTCCAAGGGTGAATTATACTTTGCACTCTGAAAAATTTAAGAATTCTCACTTGGTACTCTCAAAGATAAAATTTTTTATACTACACCCTTAATATATCAAAAGTACTGTAATATAGCCCTTCTGTTATCTTCATTTATTTTTTCTGTCAAAAAATACCCAATTGACACTAACGAAAAAAATAACAGAATCTAACTGAAGGGTCACATTACAACACTTTTTATACATTGAAGATATGATGTGAAACATTTTATTTTTGAAGGTATAAAGTCAAAATTCTTAAATCTTTTAAAGTGCAAAATATAATTCGCCCTTGGAATATTGCATGACTTCTCACCGGCCCAATAGAAAGGCCACTTAAGCAATTGTTTAGGTCCCCAAAAAAAAAAAAGAGGGCGCCCAAATAATAAGTATAGTCTTTAATTGTAATTTAAATTAGCCCAAAAATTTTGGTTTAAAGGGCCCAATCTAATGAAAATTCTTACAAGGCCTATATTTTGGTTTAAGCAACTACTTAGGGCAAAAAAAAAAAAGGTTTTTTGGTTGTGGATACACTTTTTTAGATTTATTTAAAAAAAAGTGTATGGATAAGTTGTTTACTTTTTTAAGTTTAATTTTCATAAAATATATTGTGGCTAAGTACAAAATTCAAATGAAATTAATTTGTTTTTACCTAAATACCCTCCTTTAAATTATGTATTCTTGATTGACAATTATATATCTAATCAAATATATAAAGATTTCATTAAATTCTCTCACTATCTCTTCCCTATTTTCTCTCAATCTATCTCTCTCTCCTTCTCCGTCTCCCTGTTACTTTCCCCATCTCTCCCTTATTTTCTCTTTCTATCATTGATAATTTATTTTTTTTCAAATTTGTAGAAATTTGATTTATTTTTTTATCTCTCTCCCCTTATTTTCTCTAACCATTTCTCTTTCTTCCTATTTGTTGTTTCTCTCTCTATTTATATCAACATTGCAACAACAAAATTATACTAATTAGTTACACAATCAGTTACAATTGTCTTATAATATACAAAATAGTTACTCATCCGTTCTAATAAATCAAACAATTACACTAAATAATTACACAAAATTATGATATCAACCAATTTGTCATTTCGTTCTTTACAAAAACATGATAAAGTCTTTTATGTAATGATAAACCCAATTTGGTGTACATAATTAATGTAATCATGTCGTGATACTAAATTTGTGACTGAATGATAAATTGAGTTATAATTTCATATAATTGTTTAGTGTAACTGTTTGATATATTAGAACGCATGAGTAACTATTTAATATATTATAGGGTAATTATAATTAATTGGTGTAAATGATTAGTATAATTGTGTTGTTGTAACGTTGATATAAGGAGAGAGAGAATAAGGAAATAAGGAGAGAGAGTGTGAGAGACAAAAAAAATAGGGGAGAGAGATGAAAATTTAAATCAAATCTTTACATATTTAAAAATAAATAAATTATCAATGTAAGAGAAAGAGAGAGAGAGAAACAGATAGAGAGAAAAATAGGGAAGAGAGAGTGAGAGTAATGAAGAGAGAGAAAGTAATGAAATAATAAATGATCTTTAGTCTTTTTTAAAAAAAATGTAATGAGAGTCAAATAAGTTTCTTTAATACAATATAACTCAAATAAGTCTAAATTTTTGTACCAGTTTCCAAATTATCCAAAAAAAAAAGAAAAATGGCACCCAAATAATAAGTATAGTCTTTAACTGTAATTTAAATTAATCCAAAAATTTTGGTTTAAAGGGCCCAATCTAATAAAAATTCTTACAATGCCTAGACTAAAACAAAGGCCCAATTCACATCTCTCTCTCACTTTTTTCCAATGGTTAAAATTTAAAAGACTTGAAAGTTCTAAAAAAGGCAAAAATTAATTTTTCACAATTAAAGCCTAAAAGCGTACTCTCTCTCTCTCTCTCTTCCCACAAGTAAAAAAAGTTCATATTGCATAATTATGTATCTCTCTCTTGCAACCTAGATTAAATTGAAATTGTACATATTTGTTTGATTGTAATTTAATTTATAATATTTTTATTGATAGGATTAATTTAATACTATTATTCTTTTTTATTGTGAAAGTTTGAAATAGTAGATGATTTGGGAGGCGAACAAATTGTCAATTTAAAACTTATACAATTTTTATTTATCAGGTGATATTGTGTTTAATTCTTATTAACGTTTATAAGATATTAGATTGTTTTCCTAGTGTAATTATTTGTTAGTTTAAAATATATTTTATTCACAAGAATTTTTAGTTTGAAATATGATAAGTTTTTTCAAAATTAAAACTCATAAAATTCTACTCACGATCAACTATAGCACAAGAAAGATTGAATGAATTAGTCATATTATCCATTGAAAAAATATACTAGCAAAACTCAAAAATAAAAATTTGATTACTAATTTTGCATCACAAAAAATGAAAAAAATTAATTTTAAATAAAATTTTAATCATACAATATAATTGTTTTTTGATAAAATTTGATATGCCTCTACAATTTTCTTTGGGCCGCCCTGACTTCTCATAGGTGGCCTCTCTTTTAATTATTGAGGTTTTTGATTACATTAAATGAAAAGAAATCAATATAAAAAAATTGATATTTATCATATCTTCTCTCTCATCTTACCTCTTCAATTTTCTGCCATCTCTTAATCATTAGAATGAGTTTTGCGACAACCACTCTCCCATGTTTGCGGATAACATCTATCATTATTTATCTGATTTTGACCTCTTGATACCTCACTCCTCCACGGCACTAGAACAAGCTACACTCTCTCAAGACTGAGATAAGTGGGATAAAACTTTCGCGCACCCCTAATGCTAGGATAAGTCTATGGTACTATTTCAATTTTTTTTTTGGCACGGGGTGTTATCCAAGTGCTATATAACATATAACTATATAAGGCCCGGCGATAGATAAATTGTAACACGTATAATTTTATTTTTTTTAATAATACTTATAGGTGGTTCAATAGTTGAATTTGATATTTAGTAACACAGAAATCTTAAATTCAATCTCTTTTCGTACCTCTGAAGAGTTATCGATCCTTGTCCTTAAAGTGACAGGCTTTAATCCAACTCAAATTACAGTGATAAGCCTTTAAGCTCGAAAGAATAGTCGGTGTAAACTTATACACTCTATAACGAAAAAGATGTATATAATTTTTTATTAATTATGTGTACAATACGACACTGTTGACAATCATGATACATGGTTAGCAGCCAATATTTTCTCCGACAATAGACGAGGCTTACCTGGTCGTCTAGGAATTACTGTTAATTATAATTAGGTAATTAATATCAAGAATATAAATTTTATGTATTTCAGTTTAAGTTTATAGGACTTTAATGATAAAAATTGAGTTTTCTCCATCTTTATATTGGTCATACTTTGTTGACCTCTAATTCAAAGTGCAAGTGTGTTAAGAATACAATTGTATCTACCAGCTTCATGTACATGTTCATGTTTAATATTTTATTTTTTGTGTTCACAATCTGTTTGATTTTTCGTAATTGTACAGTGCTGTCAAGGATGGGTTGTCGCTAGGATATAGACATGCAGCGTAGTATTGGGAAGAAAGAGAAGAAATCAGGCCTCCCGCCAAATTTGACCAACTACTGCATATTTAATTCAATATACAGACATGCAACCAACTACTGTAAGATGTCAATATATAGACATGCAACCAAGTACTGCAAGATGTCAATCAGCCCATAAAGGAGAAGGAGGAGGAGGAGGAGGAGGGAGAGAGAGAGAGAGAGAGAGAGAGGGGGAGAGAAGTAACGATGTCGGGATCATTTCCAATGAACGGTGGAAATGGCATCTACAGCTACACCAAGAACTCCGAATTTCAGGTACTTCAATTTGTTGTTGATGAATTCTTTATCTATCCTCATAAAAGAACACCTATGTTTTAGGTGTTGTTTGGGTCCAGTCTTTTTATGTAAAAATGAATAAAACATATAATATATCCATGGATGTATATTACTAATTTTCTTATTTTTGTTTTCTTGGGTCCTACATCTAAAACTAAACTAATGCCAGAAACAATGCTTATCAATGAACCGAATTCAAATTGGAGCTTCGTATGGAATATAATTTGAAAAAGTAGATTGAAATATCTACCGATTTTTATTTTCGTCGTCCATATAATAATTTGTCAAAAAGTTATATATTCTGATTCGATCAAAATAGTTCAATTGGAGTTGATTTTTACCCAAATTTTTACATTATTTTCTAATAAATTTCATGAACTAATTACTCAACCTCCGTATATATTTTTATATATTTCATATATATCATATCACAATCAGATTAATTATTGGTATATTCAAATTCAAAGTCATGATATGAATTATATATAAAGTGTTCAGATGCACATATAAATAATTTGTAAAAAGATTCATACTAGATTAATCAGATTTATGTTCAAATTCATTTTAAACTCCAAACCCTAATTGACATGACTACTCAAAACTATATATATATCTTCTACTATCGATTTTTGCTATGTTGCATTATGTTGTTTGTTTGGCATAGTTTAAGCTGATCATTGAATTTCTATTTTATGTTATGTGAAATGATTATTAGTTTACTTTACTTTACTTTCAACTAGGGTGGACTTATATAAGAAAACTAGTCAGTACCCGTGTCTGAAGACACTATATAACAAACAAAAAATTCTTACACAATTATCCCAATTCAAAAAGAATGGTCTAAAAATATTCATATCAATTCTTCTTTTAAAATAACTCAATATATGTCGTCGATCATATCCTCCATATTAATAAAACTGTCGTAAAAATATTTAGAACTCTTCGAAACAACACCATGTATACAAATGCCTCCGGGAAAAAAAAAACAAATACTAACATAATGCATTGAAATTTACAATTTTTAAGTAATAAATAAAATTTTGCTCATTTATAAGATTTGTGAATTTATCACCTTTACCACCACTCAATCCAATAAAAAAATATAATTATAAACTCAATCATCATATTTTCAATCCCACTCTATCCCCATGTAATAAATATCTCAAGCAAAAAAAAAAAATACAAACATAACACAATTAAATTCGTAATTTTTAAGCGACAAATAAAATCAACCAAATTTTACTCAATTATAAAACTCATGAATTTATCAGTAATATCACCATTCAACCCCAAATGGCACAATAATTACCAAATTTTCGATTCTCCACATATAAATATACACAGAAACGTACTCTCACCCATTTATTTTTTGGCTACCAACAAACCTACCTAACCAATAACTATTTTTATTTAAAATATAATAATTCAAGTTTTCATGACTAAATAATAATAAATTAATATCTAATTAAAAAATATGGTAAAAAATACGAATTTCCCCAGAGTTTTGATAATATTATGCGAACACCCCTTGATATTTTATAAATAACACGAAAATCCTTGAAGTTTAAAATTTATTATACAGTGACCCCTTTTGTCTCCCTTCCTTCAATATTACTAACGGAAAGTGATGATTTTATTCCCTTACAAAAATTATTATTTTTATAATTGCCTTTCTCCAACTTTAGTACCCAAAAAAATTAAAAATTTAATAAAATAAAATAAATTAAAATTTGATTTAGTACCCAAAAAATTGATATAATTTAGTACCCCACAAAATTGATTAAATGAATTTTAATATTAATTTGATAAAAATAAAAATTAATTTGATATTAATTCGACAAAGTTGAATATAACTTAGACAAAATTAAATGTCAATTTTTGATAAAAATATATATTAATTTACAATTTGAGGTTCATTTCGTGTTAAATATTATTTGTTGTTGATTAAACCAACATGAAATTGACCTTAAATTATAATTTTGTTTGTTGTATATAAACTTAAAATTTTGTATTTTAACCCGTAAAATGTAAAAACAAATTTTTTCATAGCATAACATATTCTCTCTTATTATATCATTTGATAAATTTTTTTTGGTCAAGATTCGACCACACATACTTAAACCAAACCAATTGTTCACCCCCACTATTTTTTTTTAAGAGAATTGCTCACCTCCACTTGTTAAACTCAAAAATCTTTGGTTTTCATGAAAATAAGTGAAAGTAAATTAAAAAGTTCACAAAAAAATTTGAAAAATTGATAGTTTGAAAAAATTTAAAAATTTTAGTACCAAAATTATATAACAAATAGAGCAAACATTAAAAAAATAAAAAAATTATCTATATAAAAACCATTATCAATGAGAATTTTAGTGGAATTTAGGCTCTAAATCAATTAAGACCTAATTTCAGGCAAAGATGTGAAACTCAGATATAAAAGTCCTCAAATCGTGAAAAATGTGTGCTATTTTTTATTTACATTAAGTATTATTTACAAATTAAGAAACAAGTGACAAAATATATTTTGTTAGATATATAAAACTTTGAAGTAATTTTATGGAATAAATAATTACATAACATGTAATTTCATATGTTTTATGGAGTAATAAAACTTGAAAAATAAAAAAAATAAGATAATAATATGAGAGAGAGAGAGAGAGAGTATATGATACATATAAAGAGAGTTAGATGAGCAATATGAGTCTTAGAAAAATTTGGCATGAGAACCTTTAGATCAATAATCATCAAGCGATTTGATTCGCGAAAATTTAAAAATAAAGAAATCTAGCTACTTTATTATATAGATTTTCTTTCGCCACCATTTAAATTTTCTACTTTCTCCCCCTTAAATAGTGTAGATATATCTTGAATTTCTTTAAATGGTAGTGGTGTAAATGTGCGCCTGTTAAAATTGACTTGACAATTGTATCAAAAAAAAAAAATTGATATCCTACCACCTACCATTTTTTTTAGTAATTATACTACATTTCGGGTGGAGTTTCTGATTTTGTGATGGTAGAACCTTTTTTTTTGAGTTTTTTTTTTAATTTTTTTGTTCATGGAAGTTGTCCTTATTTCGCACTTTTCATCTTACTTTATCACAAGACATTTAAAAGGAAAATACTTCATGAATATAATGACAATGATGATAGCAATGACATCTATATATTTTTTGGTTTATTGCAGAGAGAAGCTTTAAACACAATAAAAGAAATGATCGACATGGCAATTGCTGAGAAGCTTGACGTAAAACACTTGACTTCTACTTCAAGATCAATTCATCTTGCAGACTTGGGATGTTCAGTTGGACCAAATACTTTCATTGCCATGCAAAATGTAATAGCAGCTGCGGAAAAGAAATACTATGCTAAAAGTCTATCTTCCGAAAAGCTTGAATTTCAAGTGTTTTTCAATGATCATATTTCCAATGATTTCAATACCCTCTTTGCTGCCCTCCCTGTTGATTGACAATATTTTGGCGTTGGAGTTCCGGGTTCTTTCCATGACCGGTTATTTCCCTCGTTGTCTCTCCATTTTGTGCACTCATCTTATGCACTGCAGTGGCTCTCTAAGGTGCCAGAGAAGTTGCTAGATAAAAACTCTCCAACTTGGAATAAGGGAAAGATTCACTACACTGGTGCTTCAGGTGAAGTAATGAAAGCTTATGCAGCGCAATTTGAAAGTGACATGGAGAATTTTCTGGAGGCTAGAGCTAAGGAAGTTGTTGTTGGTGGAGTGATGGTACTTGCCATCCAAAGTCTCCTAGATGATGTTGATCAATCTAAGACCCCATCTGGTTTGATGTTTAAATTTGTTGAAGCTGGCCTTATGGATATGGTGAATGCGGTGAGTCAATGATCAACAATCCATCTTGGCGCCATAAAATTCAAATATTAACTAGTTCGGACCACTTAAACATAGAAGAAAAAGATGATCCAATGTACAAGGCTATGCTATTACGAGATCTTGAGAGGGAAAGATGTAAAACATAGAAAATTAAAATTAGTATCAGTTAAACATAACAAACTAAAACTATGTTTATGGTAAGAAGTTAGCCTTGTCTTAAAATTATTCAAGAGAATCTAACCTCCCATGCAGGCCTTATTTTAGACACAGTATATGAAAATCTTTTAATAATTAGAGTGGTGACACGATTTGAACACAGGTTCTCCTACTTTGATACCTTGTTAAACAATCATCTACTCCAAAAGTTTAAACTATTAAAGAGGATGTAACTTAAGTATTTGTACTTCAACAAGGAAGGTGGTTGACAGATTTGCACCCTGAATTATTTGCTCATGATGAACAAAATATATAACAATATATCGCAGAAATCGCCTAGATCAGTAAGATTTTATTGATTTGTTTGACGATGAATAAAAGAATAAAACTTTGGACCTTTTAGGTTCAATACTTACAAGCTAGCTTTGAGGGTTAATTATACTTTGTGTCCTCAAACTATGAAGCGTGTGTCACTTTGTCTTCTCAATTATCACGTTGGTTATTATTTTCACATTGCCCCAATGATTAATGTCCACTAGAAATTTAATGAAAAATTATTTTATTTGGTCTCTTGAACTAGGTGATGTTGTTTCACTTTTTCTTGAATACGTTTACATTTTTTTGACTAAAATATAATAGCCATTTGCATTTTGGAAGATGTGAAATCAATTCAAGTAATTGAGAGAGCAATGTATGAAATTGAATAACTCAATGGGCAAAGTGAGATGAAGACCATCATTTTGGGGACAAAATATAATTAATCGTAGTAGTAATTTCAAAACCAAAGTAGAATTATCGTCTTATTCGAAGGCCATAACAACAATGAGTAGCGCTATGTATCTATTGCAGCTCTAAAAAAATTAAAATAAAACTATCACAATATAGTTGACCAGCTACTGACATTGCATTGGCCTAACTTTATTACTATCCTCTTAATTATTAGTCCCTCAATTACTATAATTATTTATATTGTCTCAAAATTATCATGTTTCAACAAAATCTTGCCTTAATAAGTGGAATCTCAAAAAGTCTTTGTGGCGACAACAATCCATCTCAAATACTATTTGCGATAGCAAATAAATTTTTTATGATAGCATTACCGCCACTGTTTTTTTTTTCTTCCCAAAACACTTTTTTTTTATTTTTGTGACAGTGAACACTAACTACCGCAAAAAAATTTATCTCAAAAGATCCTAATTCTTGTAATGACATATATTTGGGGCCCAAAAAATATTTAGGGCCTTTAATTATAAGACAATTTTAGGTACAAAGTGTAAACTCAATAAAAAAATCAATACTAAAATAACGAGTTTGGATTTAACCTTAGTATATATGGGTGATAAACAAATGAATTTGATAGAGCTCTCAAATAAACGAATTTACGTAAATCTGATTAAATACGAAATAAATATGTTAAACACGACTTACATATAGTACAAATTCGACTATACAATATTATAAATGAAAAGAGTATAAATTGAGTCAATTTTAATACAAAACAATTGAATGAATGTTTTTTATTACCTTTGTTTTTTTAGTCTTACCTATTCTTTACATAAATTCTAAAAAGATAAGTTATCTCAATACACAATATATTATGTTAAGTGAGATTTTGTAACGTCCCGTCTTCTTGAAAATTCCAAACAACTTTAGGATGAGTTATTTATTTTAAGACCCCTTGAAGAAATATTCTAGAGAATCTAAAAAGGGTTTCTAAATTAAACTTTCTTCAAGGAACATTCTAGAATATACAAGAATATTTACATAGAAGGTTTAGAGACACTGTAAATGTTTAACATTTGACAATATTATAGTCATTCATGATAAGACGAAAGGCCTATAAATAGGTGGGAATTTTCTCATTTGCAAGAACCAACAAACGAGCAATCAAGTTATAGCATAAATTCGAGACTGTTTTCATCTATGTCAGAGTTTTTACTTAATTATTTTTTTTCTCCAAAACACGTTTTTTTTGGGTGATGATAGACACTGCCATCACAGAAAAACTTATCTCAAAAGACTCTAATTCTTATAGTTTGTATTAAACTTGTTTGTGCTTCATAGATTTTCATTGAATGCATCTCTTTTCCTTCATACCATTGGTTTTGGTGATGAAAGACACTGCCATCACAAAACAAAACTTAACTCGAAAGACTCTAATTCTTATGGTGTGAATTAAACTTGTTTGTGCGTCATAGATTTTCATTGAATGCATCTCTTTTCCTTCATACCACTTGTTCAAAAGTATGAGGATGTTATATGCAGTGTCAATATATGTTTAGGCACTCCAATTCGTTCTAAGAGTTTTTGAAGGAATATTTGAAAAAAAAAAAAAAGATATTTGACAATCTACTTGAAACTTATGTCCACTTGAACACCGCAACGTATATTTGAAGCAATTCTTTTATGAAAAGTATTAACACCAAAAGGTTGGTCTACAGTTATAAGGACACAATGGCCTCCAATTGATCTAGGTACCCAAAAATGAACTAAAACTGGCCTTTTGAGTTTTAAGCCATGAGAAATAATTTAATATCGTCTTTTGTCCCCAATGGTTGGTAAGAGTTTTAAGGGCTCAATGGGTTTGAAACTACGTCTTTTATAAAAAAATATTAAGGTTGGTGTAAAGCTGTAAGGACACAATGGCCTCCAACTGATCTGGGCATCCAAAATTGAATTAAAACTTCCCTAAATGCTTCTAACCTTTATCTTCGATTTGACAGTTCAAGATTCCTTCTTTTGGGTTCCTCTGTAGTTCTCAGGTTTGATGCATCCAAACATATATTACGGTATGTGGATATAAGTTGCAAGTGGACTGCAAATGTCAAATCTTTTTGTATTTTCAAATATATCTTCAGACACTGCAAATAATATTATCTTAATTTTAAACCAGATGTTTAAAGGTATAAAAGACACATTCAAAGAAATCTCTATTGCATTAGAGAAGGTGTGTAAATCAATCCAATTATCTTTTGCTTAGACATGGGTCCTGTGCTCCCATTCAAAGTGTTGGGTTTGTGGTAGGGTGAAAGAACTACACTTCGGAGGCTACTGTTTTGGGCACACGATGTTGACAAGTACTGAGACACCATTCTTTACCGTAATCTAAATTCCGCCTCAGAAATGAACTGCATCACATACAAAAGAGCAAGTGAGTTGTTGGTAGAGCATTTTCAACCCACAATGCATGCTTCTGCATTGATATAACTAAGTTGAGCATAATTAAGTATATCTGGCGACCCCTTAGCACACCATGCACATGGCGTTGGGTTAACTAGCTCTTTTGCAATTTTCCTGCGAAGGTCCTGCACTGGAAATATTTTTTACTTACTAGAGTTCTTTTTGCCCTTGTAAAGATAGACGAATCTTTCTGGACTCATTGTTGGGTAGAATGAAGTAGCATTTTCACAATTTCAACATTTCCAAAATTGTTTTAGGAGTTAAAAACTCCAACCTTTTTAGGAGTTAGAATCTCCATTGTAGAGAAGAAGAATATATCTTGATTTCGCCCCTTTTTAGTGGTTTTTGAAAGACCAAATAAGCATTATCATATTTGCTAAACCAAAACCTCTTTTTAGTGAAGATGTAGTAATTGTAGTTTAGTTAAGCTTAATTAAGAACAAGAGAAAGAGAGCATATAAAGAACAAAAGAAAATGGGAGAAGGTTATATTTTTATTAAAGAATGATTTGCTTAAATACATGAGTATGTAACTGAAAACCAGAAATAAAAGCAACAAACTTCGTAAACTTTAGCTACTAACATTAACAGCTAGTAGATAATAGAAAATCAAAACAAATCTCCTAAAGACTTGGTCAAAGAGTATATAATGCACTGAATATCAATTGCAGTCCTTAAAACTGATTAAAGACACCTGACATTCAAATCTGAGCTTGCAGCCTCAGTTTCACATGTGCAGCCACCTCTGCTAGCCATGTCAGCATCCATGTCAGCAACCCTACAGCTAATGATGCACACATCCAACACTCCTCCTTGAATCAGTGGGCGGAGATTCCACGCTTCTTTCTTAGAAACTCAAACCTGCTTCTAGGAAGAGCTTTAGTGAAGACATCTGCCAGCTAGTTTTCAGTCTTGCAATACTTCAAACACACTGCACCATCTTTTTGAACATCTCTGAGAAAGAACAACTTTATCCTGAAATGCTTTATTTTTCCATGAAAAAATGGATTGTTGGAGATGGCTATGGCTGCTTGGTTGTCCACCATCACCTCTGTACTCATCCCTTGCTCCAACTCTAAATCAATTAGAACTTTTCTTAGCCATAAGACTTGATGAACAGCAGCTGTGGCTGCTATAAACTCTGCTTCAGTTGTTGATTGTATAACAATTTCTTGTTTTTTTTAACACCTAGAGAACACACCTAATCCAAAGCTAAAACAATAGCCTAATGTACTTTTCATGTCATCTAAAGATCCTACCCAATCACTATCAGAGTAACCTTGCAGCTTGAAACTCTGACATGTACTGAACTTGATACTATAACTTAAGGTCCCCTTAACATACCATAGAACTCTTTTTACTGCTTTAAAATGACTTTCACTTGCACAATTCATGAACCTTGATAGTACACTTACAACATGCAAGATATCTGGTCTTGTTGATGTGAGATACATTAAGCAGCCAATTAAACTTCTATAGAGAGTTTAATCTGCTTGTTCACCTCCATCATCCTTGCACAACTTCTCCTTTTGACACATTGGAGTACTCATGCTTTTACAATTCTCCATGTTAAATTTCTTTAGGATCTCCTTTGCATACTTCCTTTGACAGATGAAAATTTTATCCTCTTCCTGTTTAATCTCCATTCCAAGGAAGTAAGACATTTCTCCCATGTCA